ACTCAAAAAGGTTAATGTGAGAATATGCAAAGGTATGCAAATGGGTCTGCATGCCTTCCCTGGTTTTGTATATAGTAGTAACACTACTGGTGGATGTCACCCAGAGGGTGGTCCTCACCAGCTCTTCCAGGAGCTATTCAAAAAGACTCAAATCATCTCTAGACAAAGAGCTTTGAGGGAACAGTTTTCCACACAGGGTGCAATCAATAAAGTAAAGGCAACAAAAATCCATAGAGCCGCATTCAAGAAACGTGACTTTAGGGTCTCAAAACTATTCATTCAACAAGTACGTGGTGAGCATTGATTTCACAGACGGTTCACTGGGAAAAGCAAAGATGAATAACATTATCTTTCTGATTAATGAAGAATGTGGCCCTGACAGATGCTGTGAAAAGCTGTTTTTTCAATACTGTGGTCATGACGAATTAGCAGTTGGTGAAATCCACCTATCGGATCGGAAACAACATTACTTTTAATTAAGTAGAACGCAATAGAAGAGAATAAAAAAGAAGATAGAGTTTGTGGGGAGCCAGAAGGCTGTTTTTCTTCCTTCTTTCATGTGTGTAGGGGCACCGGGTTTCCAAAGTAAGATGCACTCTTATTGTGGAAAGAAGTCAAAGAGTTTGAAGAGAGAAAAAGAAGAAAACAAAGCGATGCTCTCGAGTTTCCTTCCCGCTGAGAAAAGAAAGCTAATTAATGGCGAGTCTTTTGTATAAAGCAGAGAGTGACTAAGAGGGGAGATGGGTGTTGCTATTCTAGTGTCCCTGGAGATTAAGGCTGGGGGGAGGGTGCAGCAGGTCATCCTCCGGCGGCTTCCAAATCCTTCCTTTACTCAGCCTCCAGGGCTGCACACCTTGCTGTCCACAAACCACCGTTACTGCCGCTTCTTGGGTCCTTCCTCCAAAGATGGAAGGAAAGCTGAGTTATCCACTGCCTCGGGGCCACTTCTCTTTCCTCCTAACACTCATTCCTTAGAGGCATCACTCTTTCTCAGATGTGTCAGTGCTGTGTACATGTCCACATGGATTTTTTTTCCAGCCCAGATTGCTGGCCTATCGTGTTTATATGCCCAGCTCCCTCCTCAACATCTCTTCTTGGATGTCTCCCGGGCATCTCAAAGTCAGCACATGCCAAGGACACGCTTCTGTTTTACGTTTGTGTGTATCCACTGTACATGGTGCTGTGGTTCATTAAGAGAGTTTTACTCAAGAATATGATGTGCCTTGACCATAGTTACCCCCATGCTCTTCTGTCTCCTTTCTCCCATGCTTTCCCACTGGTCTATCCCTTTATGCCAGACTTCCTTTTGCACATATATATGCAAAAGAAATATATATATATATATATATATATATTTGCATAGAGAGAGAGAGTTTTATGTTTTGATATAAAGGATAGACTGCAAATGAGAGAAAACAAGAAGTATTTTTCTTTCTGAATCTTACTCTTTTACTTAATATGATGATCTTGTCTTGGTCTATTTTTCAAGCAAACAACATAGTTTCACTCTTCTTTGTGGCTGAATAAAACTCCACTGTGTAAACGTGCTACTTTCTTTGTGTCCACTCATCTGGCAGACACCTAGGCCGATGCTGTAACGTGGTTATTGTGAGTGGTACCCCATGAACGTGTCTGTTCAGCTAGCTGTCCCTGCACTGTGTATGTTGACGTAGAGTCCAGACTGAATCTTCCACCCCTAATCTGTTCTTTTGGGACCTCTTCATTTCAGCCAACAGGAATTCAGTCCTTCCAGTAGATCAAGCCATCCTTGCCTCCCTTCTTGGGGTCGTCTTTGCCTCCTTTCTTCCAGTCTGCACACCCAATTCACCATTAAGAAGTCCGTCTTCTCCTCTCTCTGCCACAGCCTTTTGGCTCTTCACCAGGATCCTTAGATGATTCTTCCTCTCTGATTCTGCTCTTGTGGCCACTTTAGCCATTCCCAAATGGACAACCTAAAGGAGTTCTAAACTAGAGCATGTCTGTCTCTATTCAAAGCTCCCGCCTTTACAGCAGCCTGATAAAATAGTGATAAAAATGACTGTGTAACAGACCATCTGTGCACATACCTGTTATAGATATCTTGCTGCCTGAAGGAAGTGTGACAAAACAGAACAAAGTTCAAATCCTCAAGAGCTACTGTCACTGTGTGATAATTTTTGTGTCACCTATTGCATAAAGATACCAAAATATGACTTTATCCTGTATAGATACCAAGAACTAGGTTCATGCAGTTTCATTGATAGAGAATGAATAGATTCAGGAAGGGAAAATTCCACTGTGGTCCGGTTAAATGCAGTATACTTTTAGGTGCTGTGACTGTTACTTAGGAAAAAATAAATAAAAGCATCAAGATAATGCTCATAGTAATCAATAGATGGTAATGAAACCCAGGAATGCACATCTTTGTAAATGTCTTGAATTTTCCTTCATTTGCTTGTCTATAATGCCAAAAAGTTAAGTCAACAATTGATAAATATAGTTAGTTATAGGCTCATTTAAGAAACAATATTTTGAAATTAATAAATAAATGCTCTAAAGGAAAAATATTTTCTGAAATTTATTTCAGAATTGTGTTTAACTACTAGTGTATGAGACGATTGACTGAATAGTTTATGGACTAAACTTGTACCATTTTAACAAGATTATCAGACTTTCTGTTCTAAGGGGAAACATCTATATTCATAAGCATTTTAAAATAACTGTACTATTTGTTCATCCCATGCTTATCAAGCTTCATGTTCCAAAGAAATAGAATCACCACCCTACAAATTAGACACATAGTGAGCGAGTGTATAGCACTGACAGCTGATGGGCTGGCTGAGTGATTTGTGAGATTTTTAGCAAACAGCACAATTTGGTTTGGGTGAATGACATGTCTGTATCTGGGTTTCGACAAAAACCCAGCAGGAAGACTTCTGATCCATCTCTGCTTCCGAACACCCGGTCAAGAATTCTAGATTTCTTCAGAGAACTCCATTTTGGAAAGAGGAACTATACTTAAAACCCACACATGATGTGGTGGACAGACACAGCCCACCCCTGACTGTAGCAGTGATGGAAAAAACACAATGCTCAGGCAGGCCGTTCCGAGCCAATGGCTATGCCCTCAGTGTGCCCAAAAGCAAACAGCTTCATGAAAACCACTAAGGGCTCCAAATTTTCCTCTTCTGTAGCCAGTGGAAGCAAGTTTATCTGCCACAGACAAACCCTGGGGCTGTTGATTTTGAACTCTTTTAAAATGTTTTGGATTTTCCTTACATTTCACTAAATCTTACCGCTAATTTTAATTGTTGGGTGGGGTGCATTCTGTCTGTTACTTCAAGCTCTTTGGGTTCTTCCAAGCAGCTAATAGTCACTATTTGTCACATTTTTCAAAATTAAAAAAAAAAAAACATTTCAAAATATGTCCTGAAAATTTAATTCTTGATCTCACGATTAATGAAGAATTGTTGAAGGGAAGGTCAGAATCTTGTTTAGACAGGATGGTGTGGTAGACGGAGAATAGAAATCTGACTGTCATGTGGAACATTTATTTTAAGTCCCTTGATACCATGAAGTCTCGATGTTCTCATTTTTGCAATGGGATTTGATAGCAACATAGGTTTGACAGTATATTAGAATATGCTCGTATATTTGTGATTATAAAATGGCTACCTTCAGGACCTAAGTCTGCCTGCTTCCCTATTGCATTACTCAATCAAAGAGAAAATATTTTTGCCCAGCATTCCAAGCATTGAACAGGCTTAGATCGTGCACACAGCCCTGCAGCAGAGCAATAAAGCAAAGTACAATGAACAAGGCAATGTACTGATTGATGGACATGGCCTGAATCCTGAACCATTTCTAAAACATATATATGGGTCTCAAATAAAGGAGGAAGGTTCTCCAAAGCAAAACCAGTGTGATTTGTGACCACAAGAGCTAGCTGTGATGTTTAGATAGCAAACTCCATTTGTGTCCACTCCAGTCAAAGTTCAGACTAGACCACTCATAAATATTCACTTTCCAGGGCTTGTATAGGTGGCTCAGTGATGAAGAGCACTAAGTATTCTTTCAGAGGACCTGGGTTCAATTCCCAGCCACCCTTATGGCAACTCACAACCATCTGTAACTCTATAGGCACCCAGCACACAAGTTGTACACAGACATACAGACAGACAAAACACCCATGCATATAAAATAAAAATAAATAAATCTTTAAGAAATATATTCACTTCCCCTTCTGCCCCTTCATATAGCCAACTGGAAGTCAGTATCTCAGCTACTATATCTTAATGGTGTCACAAAGGCTCAGCCCAAGGGTCCCTTTCTCTCATCATCTGGCACCTTGATAACCCTTCCCAGCAGCTCCCAGAGGCCTGTGGGTACTCCCACAAACACAGTTTCACCCACTAGGGAACAGGGTGTATGGGAACAAACTCCAACACCAGATAATTCAGCTGCCCCAAGAGTTAGTGCCCAACTCAGTTTGACATGCTTTAAAGCTATTCTCACTCTTTTCCTTGTCCATCCTCCAAATCTCCTGACTCAGTAAAAACTTGTAAATTTCAGAGACTATGTTTTATAAGATGCTTTGGGCATATTTACCCAGAAACTTTTATGGTGCTAGGTCACCTGAAGACAAGTATAAATGTTTGTAGGTAAAAATAATCTCACAGAGTCACTCAGTGAACAGATCTCTATTCCATAGTGCTGCTCACCAAGCTCTTAAATGAGAGCATTTAAGAACATGCAGAGGGAGCTTTGACAAGGGTTATAACCCCTGTTTTAAGCAAGGTGGGTATTCGCACTTGCCCTTAAAAGGTAACTGTAAGCGAAGCAAACTCAGCCGCACTCCAGCCTTGGGCTTCCATAGGAGTGAAGATGGGCGGTTGCTAGGGAGATCAAATCCTGTTTGGGTGAGGACAGTCTTACGGACGGCCTAAGGATCTGCCTATCACGTCATTGTAATTTTCCTATTCCTGCTCTCTTTTTCCTTCTGCCGCTTTTGCTATGAGAAGAGCAAGCTAAAAAGGCTGCAGGGACACTTAAGCCAAGTCGTATTTGTCAAGGTGAAAGCTGTGTGGAGCAGGAAAGCAGTTCTCCCAGCCACCAAGAAGATGCGAAGGAGCAGAGTGAGTAGGGAATCTGAGAGCCACTAAAAGTGCTTAGAAGGCCAGTGCGTCGCAGCCATGTCTGCGGGCAGCTGTCCCCACAGCCAAGCCTTCCTACCAAAGCTGGAGCACTGTTGGGATGCTCAGAGGCCTCCAGAGTCACCGTGACCAGTGTGACTGTCCTGAAAGTCTTCTGATCCTCCCCCCAGCCACACCCCTTCTCACACACATAACAACGGGGTGGTTTTTGTTTGAGCCATAACGCAGAGAACAGCGGGAGCAGAATCACAGAACTGATGCAAAGGCCATCTCACTTCCCACTTGCTTTAAGTACTGACTCTTTTACCAAAGCTAGAAAATTCGTGACAAGATAATATTTGTGATTATTTTTAATAGTTATATTTCATTTTTAAGTGCAGTTCAATGGGAGCGTGCACTCCGTTCCCTTTTTTTCCTTTTCCTTTTTGTAGTTTATCTGTTCATCGCTCGGTAGTGATGGATTCATCAGAGGCTGGGTGATACTGTTAAAAGCTTTGGTGCCAGACAGCAAACCTCTTGTTTGTTAGGATGACCTTGGAAAGTCATTTCACCTCTTATGAGTCTTGGCTTTTTGAGATCAAAACAGAAACGGCAATGCCTGTTTTACAGGATTGCTGGATGGTGCTGCCCCGACCCTGGGATATTATTCCTTAACTGTTAGATTTTTCTGTAGATAGCAGATCACCACCTCTGCTTTCATAAATACAAGCTCTTGTCCTGCAATTGACCTTTGGTCATAAAGCTCAGAAGGGCTAGTTCTGTTGCCCCCTCAGCCAGGGCCAAGCACCACCATTTACCCCATAACCTTCACTGAAATATTTTGTTCTTTGGAAAACATCAACAGTGTTACGTAAGCCTATCAATGGCGCCACTCTGATCCCTACATCTCCTTGTTTTGTTGTCTGTAGTCTATCTGACCAGCCAAATGCTTGTTACCTCTCCAGCCTCTCTGGCCCCGATGGCATAGAACTCTGCCTTATGTGCCCCACAACTACCAATTCCATCACCTCCACAGGAAAGGCCCAACCTACCCTTGTGAATTTTCAGGACATACACTCCACTTCAGCTGTCTGGGCTTTCTAAGTGTCTTCATTCCTTTTGTGGCTCTCAGATTTCCCCAAATCTCACACATTTTCATTACTCCAAACCTCACCATCCAACTCCCATCCTGAGATATTCCACTCTCAAGGATGTGCACATGGCTTCATCTCTCAGCCATGGGACCATCATGGGCACTGAATGTCTAACTTGTCCGAGTTGCAGATAACAGCTCAGGACCTGTAGCCAGCTGAAGCAAAGTCTTGAGCTCTTGTGCTTTGCCAGGGTCTTTTATAGACAAGCCTTCCTACATCATAAACAGTAATTCTTGTCACTTTTATTCCAAGTTATATAAATTATGTTTCATGTATTAATTTTTTTCCTGTAAGCTGACCTTAAATCTATATGAAGTTGGATTTTTTTTTAATCTGAAGTGTGTACTCTGTTGATTATCATAAAGTGGCAATTGTGTGTCAAAAGTATTTATAAATAATGGAAGGAAAATTCCTCCTGAACCCTAAACAGCAGAACCCAGCTTGAGAATGAGGGGTTCTACAACACTAACCACTAACCTCTCTGCACCCTGTCTCTTTATTTGATACAAACTATAACAGAAAGTATAAAAAAGATCTCTCACCATCCTTCAATTTAGCCAGCAGAATCATAGACATTATGTGAACATATAGGTAGGCTTTTTTGCAAGCATATAACACAGATGAATGCTGAATACAAGTGACTGAATATGGACATTATTATTACTGTCTCATTTCTTGTTTTCATATATATTTTAAAGAGTTGTAAATTGATCCTAAGACCCATATTTTTCACATATTTATCATTTCTGAGATGCGGCATATAATCTAAAGCAACAGAGTTCATTGATGGTGTTTCTTTCTTTCTTATTAGTGTAAGAAAGTGAACTGAGGTCGGCATTGGCATCTTAGAGTCGATAAAATAAGGCATCTCACCTTAGGAAAGTAAGGAGAGGTAAATGCAGGGAGTTTGCTCACCAAGCGGGATAAAGGCTCAACACATCATTGAAGTTTGAGATGTCCAGATGGGCATAGTAACCTTGACTCGCAATCTTCCAAGGTTCCATATAAGCAAGATTTTAAAGTACTCCTTCTTTGATCTCCCAGAACCAGTATGATGCTTCTTTAGCTTCATTTGAGGAAACCTATGGGAGAGGAATTAAAAGCACCAAAAGACAGTCCATTTCCAAAGGGCCTAGAATATGGATAAATACCTTTTGGTACCCATGGCCAATTCAGCAGAGCTATGTTCTAACCATAGAAGAAATGCTTGTATTTTTGTATGTGCTTTTTTTTTTTTACATAGTCTGTCACAGGTATATCCTTGTACTAGAATATCTAATATGCAAAAAAAATCATCCTGAAACACTGTCACTTTGTCATCGCCAAGATATTTATGGCAGGCTACACTTAAAATATAGCTATGTTTCCAACCTTTATGCTCACATTCATAAGGTGCTTAAGTTCATGAACTCCTTAGATAGCTGTTCCCATTTTACAGATGAAAAGACTGAGTCAAAAATGTGCTTACACACATAGTTACATGTATAGTAAGTAAAAGCTTGTATTGACAATCACACTTACGTAGAAATTTAATAGATTATGGCACTATTGTAGGCCCTAGAAATAAACAGTGAGATGCTTGCACCTTTGTTAGTCTGCTCTTTTCCACCTTGGTGACTACAAGCCGTTGTGAGTCCCCTGACCCCACATACCAGCCTGGACAGCCCTTACATGTACCAAGCATGCAGGTCTTAGGACAAGTGTCCTTTAAAGAAATCTTAAAAAAAAAGAAAAAGAAAAAGAAAAAAAGAAAAGAAAGAAAAAAGAAACTAGGTCCCACTGGGGTTCTTGTACCCTAAGGTTTCTAAACCCAAAAAGACATTATACAGGGTTGTTGTAAAGCCAGGAAAGCGCACCCACCTGAACAGGACAAACAGCTTTGGAGTACTTCCTGATGGGCAACTGTCACTCAGAACTGCTAGTGTAGACAGTCTGTTCTGAATTTATACTCCTGTTTAACATATCCAATTATTTTTGTGTCTGCAGTATCAAAGAATGAGACTCTGACAGCCCCTCCCCCACCCCCCATGGACGGTATAATTCCTCTCACTCCCACACAGTTTTGCCCTTGTAACTCAAAACCATAATCGCCGGCCACAACTGCATTCCAATAAAGCTTTCTTTATAAAAGCGCATAGTAAGCCATATTTAGTCCCCAAGCTATAGCTCACAAACCCCTAAGTAAATAGACCAGATTTGTAGATCTCACAAAAGAAACTAATTTAGGCTGCAGTGGTTTAAAGGGGCTTTGGGAAGGTTGAGTTCATCTTTGGAGGAAAATTTGAGGTGTGCTAATAAGATGGGTGTGACCTGGCTCTACCTACTGGCGTCTCCTTATATCACTGCCCCTCTTCCCGGTGCTCTCTGCTCAGACTGACACTTTTCACAACTAGATTTTGGTTACTCCGAGCTTATTCATATGCTATAGAGTTTATACTGGCTGGACCCAGGTCTTCCTAAGGCTGGCTGCTATGGTTCTCAGACAAGAGAGAAACAAGTAAAGACCAGCCCCCTCTAGGAGCCCTGTCATGTTGTCTCATCTGGTTTCCCTACAGCATTTGTTTTTCTCAAATTATCTTGTTCATTTATTCCTCCGCTTATCTGTCACAGTCTCTCCCGGCTCTCTGTAAGTTTGAATCGAGTGATGCTGACAGATGAACAATCAAAACTGCTTGCAGCAGTAACAGAATAAGAGCGGGAGGCAGGAAGGCTTAGGAAATAAAAGCATGTCCCCTTAAGTGGTCGGCTCCCAGCTCTGGACCCTGTTGGCAACATCTGATTACAGTCACTGGTTGGTGGTGGCGAGCCCTTCAATGTCTCAGTGATGACAGGCAGCTTCAGTTCTAGACTTCAGATGGGAAGCTCGCATAACTCCTCATTTTATCAAAACCCTCAGATAGGCGTGGTGGCACATGCCGGTCATCACAGCGCTGAGAAGGAAGGCTGAGACAGAAGGATTGTGAGTTGGAGGACAGCCTGGGCTACACAGCAGCTTTCAGGCTAGACTGAGCTAGATAATGAAAACCTACCTCAAAATCATTTAAAAAGGGGCAGGGGGCAGTGGTGCTACACCCCTTTAATCCCAGCACTCAGGAGGCAGAGGCAGGTAGATCGCTATAAATCTGAGGCCAGCCTGGTCTACAAAGCAAGTTCTAGGACAGCCAGAACAGTTATACAGAGAAACCCTGTCTTGAAAATAGATAGATAGATAGATAGATAGATAGATAGATAGATAGATAGATAGATAGAAATTTCTCTACTAGAATGTTAGTGATTAAACACAAGCATTAAAAAGCAAATAGTCTTTCCTTATGATCTATCACAATTACCAAACTTAGCCTGTAGGAGACTGCTTTGTGTGTTATTTCTATAGTTGGGCCCAGCCACCTCCTGAGCTGGTTCAGACTGGCAGGACCACCCGCTGTCCCACCATGAACAATGCCCAGGCACTTGCCCCTCTGCCCCCTTTATTTAACAGGACTTCCAGTCCGAGAGACTGCCCCCACCTTCAACAGCATAGCCCTTTTCAAACAGTGGGCAGGGTTAACCTTCTCTTTAGATTCCCCTAAATAATTTTCTGTGCAGTTGTGGGGAGCAGTTAAGGAGACTCGTTGATGTAAGCAGCAGAAAACGAAACAGCAGGCCGGGCGGTGGTGGCGCACGCCTTTAATCCCAGCACTTGGGAGGCAGAGCCAGGCGGATCTCTGTGAGTTGGAGGCCAGCCTGGGCTACAGAGTGAGTTCCAGGAAAGGCACCAAAGCTACACAGAGAAATTCTGTCTCGAAAAAACAAAAAGAAAAAGAAAAAGAAAACAAAACAGCAGGTCAAGCAGGGAGAGAGCATTGGAAA